GAGGGAGAAGCAGGCTTCCTGCTGAGCAGGGAGCCCGATGCGGGGCTTGATCCCAGGACCCTGGGATCATGACCTGAGCCGAAGGCTTAACAACTGACCCACTCAGGCACCCCATATGTTTAGATTTTAATGAACAATTTTCCACCAGTGCTATGTTCAAGGTGGAAGGGACTTGGGGTAGTGCAATGAGATTTTCACATATACTTGCTGCTGCAATCTAACCATCTGACCAAAAGGCATTTATTGTCAACCAAATGTGATTGACCAATGAGGGTATCCTTGAACCCGAGGCGAGAATAGAGGTGAGATCTGCTTGACTCTAAACATTTTAACTTAAATACTTACTAGTTATTCCTGACACTAGGATCTCCAGTCTTTCTGCCCAACTGAAAATAGATATGCTCTTGACTTAGCCAAAGATGCTTGGCCTCCTATTACTGGCCCTTGACCCTTGACCCTGGGGTCTGGTGCAGTTCAGTGTTTCTAACTGATCTACCCAATGCTAACCTGTGTTGAACCTCTTCTATAGGTATGGTCACATAGTGTCCTCTGGGCTTTGAGAATCAGTGTTTCCCTCTGGGAACTTACTTGGCTTCAGGATCATACTCTGCCCAGATTCTTTTAAATTCATCCAGATGATGGGGACCAAGAATTGACCAGTCCCTTGTCAGGTAGTCAAAGTTGTCCATGATGACGGCTACAAAGAGGTTGATGATCTGCAGAGAACAGAGATATGATGAGTTTCTTGCTACTTGAATTCACTTTGCCAGCCAGTGCCATACGTGGCAGAAGCCCACATTTCTAAAGACCAGCTATATTCACCATTTAAAACATCAGCCCCTGGAACTTGGGTCTCTTGGGCATGAACCTGACACAGGTCCCCTCAGAGTGGTGTGGGATGAACCCCACATGTGGACTGGACATCTTCCCTCATACCAAACTGCTGGGTAGGGCTGCCAAGGACAGAGGGCAGCTTTCCCCACCATCCTTCCCCACACTCCTCATCAAAGTGTCCAAAACATATCGGTTGCCTCTAGGCCTCCACACACATCTCTCCTGTCCCCGGGACAATGCCACCATGACAAGAGCCAAGAAGAGACGAAAAAAGTGCTGGTTGGGTCACTCTTGCCCAGGGTTTTGTGCCCTTGTCTAGTGGTTGGAAATTGCTACTAACTGAGTCTTTCCAAGCTGGTTCCTCTGACTGCAAGCTGCAGATAGAAGGCCTGGGCTGCCTTGAACTGCACACTCACAACCTGTGCCTGGCTGTTCAGTCCCACCTCGGCTTACCAGGAAGGCACAGAGCATGTAGAAGCTGATGAAGTAGAAGACCGCGAAGCTGCTGCCACAGGGCATTTCGCCTTCTGTGCTGTTGCTGGGCTCTGACTCGGGGGCACACTTCTTCCCTGGCATGCAGGCCAGCATGATGTCCTGCCATGCCTCCCCTGTGGCACACCTAGGGGAGAGCAGTGAGAGAGTCCACCACCTGTGGGGCCCATCTCATATCTCTGGATCTTTCCCTCACCCCTTGCCCCATCCTCCTTCCCCAGAGGGAACTACTAAATTGAATTTGGTGTTTATCATTCCCTGAATGCTCTGATACATTTACTAAATATGAAGATACATAGCATTGTTTTGAATGTTTTAAAACTCCATAAATGGTCACAAACCACCTCTTCTGAAAAGTCCCTCTTTTTGCCATTCATGTTAAGTTTTGGAGATTTATCCATTAGGCTCTAGTTCATTCATCTTAACTGCCATATAGCAGTATATTCTATGTATATACCAATTTTTAAAAAAGATTTTATTTATTTATTTGAGAGAAAGTGAGAGCATGAGCAGAGGCAGAGGGAGAAGCAGACTCCCCGCTAAGCAGGGAGCCTGATGTGGGGCTTGATCCCAGGACCCTGGGATCATGACCTGAGCCGAAGGCAGACGCTTAACCGACTGAGCCACCCAGGTGCCCTGTATATACCATTTTTAAAAACCTGCTGTCCTGTTAAAAGTTTCTCCTTTCTTTTTTGCTATTATAAAGAACCCTGCAATCAGCATGCAGGTCCATGCCTTGGATATCTGCTTAGAAAGTGGACTTGCCAGCTGAAGTAGGTATGTCTTCACTTTCACTAGTTTTGCTGGTTCTCCAAGGGTTTGTGCAATTTATGTTCCTGTCATCAGTGCAGGACAAATGCCATTGCTTTGCAGACCTGTCAACTTTTTTTCAGTTTTACTGAGCTATAATTGGCAAATAAAATTGTAAGATATTTAAAGTGTCTGTCGTGACGATTTGATTCAGTGCTACATTGTGCAAGGACTCCTCCCACCTAGTTAATTAACACACTCATCACTTCACATATTTATCTCTTTTTTTTTGATGAGCACATTTCAGATCTTAGCAAATTTCAAGTATCTAATACAGTGTTATCAACTATCATCACCATGTTACACTTAGATCTTCAGACTTTCTTTATCTTATAGCTGAAAGTGTGTGCCTTCTACTAACTTCTTCCTATCCCCACCCCATCCAGCTCTTGGCAACTCCTTTTCTACTCTCTGATTCTATGAGTTTAGACTTGTCAACTCTTTTTTTTTTTTTTAAAGATTTTATTTATTCATTTGAGAGAAAGAGAGACAGAGAGAGCACAAGCAGGGGGAGAGGCAGAGGCAGAGGGAGAAGCAGACTTCTCGCTGAGCAGAGAGCCCAACGTGGGGCTCGATCCCAGGACCTGGAGATCATGACCTGAGCTGAAGGCAGACACTTAACCATCTGAGCCACCCAGGCGCTCCCTAGACTTGTCAACTCTTTGTCTTAGTGAATTTTAAAAAATTTTGCTCATATGATGGGTGTGAAATGATATTTCATTGCTGTCTTAATTTGGGTTTAAATGATTAATGGGTTAAGAATTTTTATTTCATCTTCTGTTGAACTACATGTTCATATTTTAGTCTGTTTGTCTCCTCAGTTATTTGTCTTCTTGTTCATTTGTGGTTTGTTCTTATATATTCTTTCCATTAATTCTTTGTCAGTTACATGCATAGTAAGTACCTTCTTCAAGTCTGTGGCTTGTCTACAGCCTTATTTATGGTGAAGCCTATTTATTTTAATGAATCTAAATTTTATTTTATTTTTTTAGATTTTATTTATTTATTTGACAGAGAGAGAGACAGCGAGAGAGGGAACACAAGCAGGGGGAGTGGGTGAGGGAGAAGCAGATTTCCTGCTGAGCACAGGGAGCCTGATGCAGGGCTCAATCCCAGGACCCTGGGATCATGACCTGAGCCAAAGGCAGATGCTTAACGACTGAGCCACCCAGGCACCCCAATTTTATTTTATTTTTTTAAGATTTATTTATATATTTGAGAGAGAGAGAGATGGAGATAGAGTTGAGCTTGGGGAGGGGCAGAGGGAGAGGGAGAGAATCTCAAGCAGACTCCCCACTGAGTGCGGAGCCAGACAGGAAGCTTGATCCCATGACCCTGAGTTCATGACCTGAGCTGAAATCAAGAGTTGGACACTTAACCGACTGACTGAGCCACCCAGGCACCCCTGATGAATCTAAAATTTAAATTTCACTGTGCATTTTGCCGTCTTGTTTGAAGAAATCCTTCCTTATTCTAGGTCATAAAGATAGTCTCCTATATATTCTAAAAATCCTAAAATTTTATTTTATGTAATAACCCATTAATCTGGAATTTATTTTTGTGCTTGATATAAAGTAGACATATGCTTTATCTTTTCCTGTGTAGATAACCAATTTTCTTAATACAATTTACTGAGTAGTTCATCTTTGCCTACTGATTTGAGCTATCCCTTCTGACATAAATTATATTTCCATAGATGTGTGGGTCTCGTGCTAGCCTTTTCATTCTATTCTGTAGGTTTATTTGTCTGTTGGTACCAATGGACCACATTGTCTTAATCACGAAGCTTTATATTAAGTCTTGCTCTCTTATAAACAGTGAGTCCTTACAGCTTGTTGTTCTTCCAAGTTGTCTTAGTTATTCATTTTCCTTTTTTCTTACACAGATCCATTAGAATCAGCTAATCAAGTTCCATGAATAATCTCACTGAGAGTCTTATTGGAATTGCATAGATTAACTTGGAGAATTTGGTATTTTGGGGACATTAAGTCTCCCAGCCATCGACGTGGCACATCTCTCCATTTATTTAGGCCTTATTAATGTTTTTAAGAAATTTTTATAATTCCCCATGTATATCTTTTGTTAGATTATTTCTAGGTATCTTATTTAAAATAAATAAACAAAATGTTGCTTTTATAAGCAGTGCATTTAAGAAGTTATATTTCCTGTTTGCAAGTGATGTAGAGGGACTATAGTTGACTTTATCTATAGAAGATTTGCTGAATTCTCTTAGTTCTGCAGGTTCTCTTGTATAGTTTACATGGGCAATTAATTTTTAAAAGAGGTTTTATTTATTTTCCCTTTTTGTAGTAAAATACATATAACATAAAATTTACCATCTTAACCATTTTTAAGTGTTTAGTTTAGTGATATTAAGTATATTCACATTGTTGTGCAGCCATCACCACCATCCATCCCCATAATTCTTTTCATCTTGTAAAACTGAAACTCTGTGACTATTAATAAGTCTCCATTCTCCTCTCCCCAAGACCCTGGCAACCACCATTCTACTTTCTGTGTTTACAGTTTTGACTCATGTAAGTGGAATCACACAGTATTTGTCTTTTTATGACTGGCTGATTTCACTTAGCATACTGTCCTCGAGGTTAACCCTGTTGTAGCATATTGCAGAATTCCTTCCTTTTTCAAGGCTGAATAATATTTCATTGTATGTATACACCACATTCTGCTTATCTATTCACCTGTCAATGGGCACTTGGGTTGCTTCCACATTTTACTCATTGTGAATAATGCTGCTGTGAACATGGGTGTACAAATATGTCTTGTAGATCCTGCTTTCAGTTGGTTGGGATATATACCCAGAAGTAGAATTGATGGATCATATGGTAATTTCATTTTTAATTTTTTGAGGAACCATCATACAGCTTTCCACAATGGCTGTGCCTTTTTATATCCCACAACACGGCATAAGGGTTCCAATTGCTCCACATCCTTGCCAACACTTGTTTTTTGTTTTGTTTTGTTTTTTGATAGTAGCCACCCTAACGAATATGAGGTAGTAGCTCACTGTGGTTTTGATTTACATTTCCCTATTATTAGTGATGTTAAGCATCTTTTAATGTGCTCATTGGCCATTCATATATCTTCTTTGGAGAAATGTCTATTCAAGTCTTTTGCCCATTAAAAAAAAGAGATTTATTTATTTATTTATTTTAGAGAAAGAGAGTAGAGGGGAGGGGCAAAGGGAGAGGGAGAGAGAGAATCCCAAGCAGACTCCCTGTTGAGCAAGGAGCCTGACGAGGCTTGATCCCACGACTCTGAGATCATGACCTGAGCCAAGAGTTAGATGCTTAACTGACTGAGCCGCCCCAGGTGCCCCTCTTTTGCCCATTTTAAAATTGTGTTTTTGTTGTTGTTGTTGTTGAGTTTGGCAATCTTTTTTTTTTTTTGGCATTTAATTTTGTTACTTCTGTAATTCTTACTCTTATTTTTCTTATTGCATTGGATAAAATTTGCAATATAATATTGATGAGAAAAGGTGATAGCATGTGCTCTTTTCTATTATATTTACTAATTACCTATTATAGACTGAATATGTCCCCACCAAATGCATATGTTGAAGTCCTAAACCTCAATAAATTTGCAGGTGAGGCCTCAGGAGGTAATAAGACTTAGATCAGGTCATAAGGCTGGGGCCCCCATGATAAAATTAGTGTCTTTATAAGAACAAGAAGAGAGACTAGAGCTTTCTCTCTCTCCATCATATGAGGACACGGCAATAAGGTGGCTGTCTGCAGGCCAGGTAGAGGGCTTACGCCAGGAACTGAATTGGCTAGGACCTTGATCTCAGACTTTCAGTCTCCAGATGTGTGAGAAGGAAATGTCTGTTGTTTAAGCCACCCATTTTGTATTTTGTTACAGCAGGCTGACCAAATTAATAATTACCAGTACAGGAAAGTGATTGTTTTCCCTTACTGATCTTCCACTTTACTGATCCTATGAATTGTTATAAGGGTTTTGAGTTGCTTTGCTTGTTTTAATCTACTTGGATTAACCTGTTGTTTGCCAAAAATGACAGTTATGTCTACACATTTTCATATTTATACTTCTTGCTTTTTTTCTTTCTTAATACATAAGGTATTAGCCTTATTTAGCCTTATAGAATGACTTAGTGGAATGACTGAGGAGATTTTATACCCCCTTACTATTCCTGAAAAGTTTATGTAACATAGGAATGATCTATTCCTTGATATTTTGAAAGAAAAATACTGGATCTTGGAACTTTTTTTTTTTTTAAGATTTATTTATTTTTAGAGAGAGAGAGAATGTTGTGCGGGGGAGTAGGGGGAGGGGCAG